AAGAGCTAACCCTTGTCAGGTCAGCTGTTTCTGCGTGTTACACCATCCCAGTATTAACCCCTTTGCTCATCAGTCCTTCCTCTCTGTCACTGGATTCCTTGAGTTCAGCTCAGTGTTTAACTGTGGGAGACTGACTCTGCTTCCATCAGCCACTGAATGAAGGTTCAGTTTCCCAGACTCTCTGGTCATGGGATTGGAGGCTGGTACTCCCCAGATTTATGTCTAAAATCCATATATGAGAGAGTACATGCTATGTTTCTCTTTTTGTGACTGGGTTACCTCACTCAGGATGGATTCTTCTAGTGCCATCCATTTGCCTGCAAGTTTCAGGATTCCATTGTTTTTTTCTGCTGAATAGTATTCCATTGTGTAAATGTACCACATTTTCTATATTCACTCTTCGGTTGAGGGGCATCTAGGTTGTTTCCAAGTTCAGACTATTACAAATACTACTGCTATGAACATAGTGGAACAGATATCCTTGTTGTATAAATGTGAATCTTTTGGATATATGACTAAGAGAGGAGTTGCTTGGGTTTATTCCCATTTTTTTGAGGAATCTCCATACTGATTTCCAAAGTGGCTATACGAGTTGGCACTCACACCAGCAGTGGAGGAGTGTTCCCCTTTCACCACATCCTCTCCAGCATAAATTGTTGTTGGTGTTTTTGATTTTAGCCATTCTGACATGAGTAAGATGGTAAGTCAGAGTTGTTTGATTTACATTTCCCTGATGGCTAAGGATGTTGAGCACTTTCTCAAGTGCCTCTCAGACATTTCAGACTCCTCTATTGAGAATTCTATATTTAGTTCTGTAGCCAACTTTTTAATTGGATCCTTTGGTAATTTGGAGACTTGCTTCTTGAGTTCTTTGTAAATTTTGGAGATCAGCCCTCTGTCAGATGTGGGATTAGTGAATATCTTTTCCCATTCTGTGATCTGCCTTTTTGTCTTGCTGAGGTATTTGATCCATTTTGACTTAAGTTTTGTGCATGGCAATAAACATGGATCTATCTGCATTCTTCTACATGCCAGCATCTAGTTCTGCCAGTAGCATTTGTTGAAGATGCGTTCTTTTTTCCAATTTGGGACAACAGGAACATACCTAAACATCATAAAAGCTATATACAGCAAACCAACAGCCAACATCAAACTATATGAACAGAAACTCAACATGATTTCTCTAAAATCAGGAACAAGACAAGCCTGTCCACTCTCTGCATACCTCTTCAATGTTGTACATGACGTTCTACCTAGAGAAATATAACAACAAAAGGACATTAATGGGATACACATTGGAAAGGAAGAAGTCAAACTTTCACTATTTGCAGATGATATATTTTGCATAAGTGGCCCAAAAACTCTACCAGGGAACTCCTACAGTTGATAAATACTTTCAGCAAAGTGACAGAATACAAGATCAACTCAAGCAAATCAGTAGCCCTACTATATACAGATGAGAAAGAGCTGAGAAAGAAATCAGAGATATATCACCCTTTACAATTGCCACAAACAACATAAAATATCTTGGGGTAATGCTAACCAAACAAATGAAAGACCTTTGTCACAAGAACTTTGAGTCTTTAAAAAAAGAAATTAAATAAGACACCAGAAAATGGAAAGAACTCCCATGCTCTTGGACAGGTAGAATCAATGTAGTAAAACTGGCAGTCTTGCAAAGATCAATCTACAGATTCAATGCAATCCCCATTGACCTCCCAGCACAACCCTTCACTGACCTTGAATAAACAATAATCAACTTTATATGGAAAACCAAAAACCCAGGATAACCAAAACAACCATATTTAACAAAGCAGCTTCCAGAAGCGTCATCGTCCCTGATTTCAAGGTCTATTATAGAACTATAGTCTTGAAAACAGCTTGGTATTGGCACTAAAATAGACAGGTAGATGAATGGAATCAAATTGAACACCCCTATATTAACCTATACAAGTATGAACATCTGATCTTGCAAAGAAGGATTTGGGTTTTAAATCACTGCTGTTTATGGCATGGTAGCTGGACCACTAGCTCCCAGGAATTCTTCTACCTCCATAACTTCTTTTCCTGTAGGTACACCAAGTTTAGACCATATGTGCTGTGTTCAGGTTTGTGTGGGTTCTGGTTTTTAGAAATTAATAGTCTCACACATGTGAGAAAATCATTTTACATACTGAAACATTTCGCATTCCTGGTGCCAGAGTTTTCTCTAAATTTATGTCAATAACTCACAAAGTGTTGAGAGATTCTTTGACATTCATTGATTATTTTTCTGTTCATTTGTGGGTTTTTCCTCTTATTTTTGTTAGGATGCATTTAATTTTAGTAGCTCAAATAAGATAATTCCAAATACTTTTTCCAAAAATATACTCAATATAAAAGAATGAAGAAATATGCATTATGTTGAAACATAATAAAATATGTAAAATTATATATACCACAGTAGTATAAATTTATCTTTAAATCAGTGATATTTTATTCTTTCCTTTTACTAAAAGTATATGTATTTTCCTATTTTTTGTTGAAAATAGTATTCTCTCATACAATACATCCAAAGCACTGTTTTCCCTCCCTCTACTACTCTATGCTGCCTCTTCCAACTCTATTATTTCCAAGAGCTACTCCCAGTCTGCTGCTCTTCAGCAAAGATCAGGTCTCCATGAGACATCAAAAAAAGAAACATACAATAAGACACAGCAAAAGCCCTCATATTGTGCTTAGACAAGGCAACCTGATAGAAAGAAGAGAATCTCAAGAGCAGCCAAGAGAATAAGAGGCATACCCACTGTCTCTGTTATAATTTCCAGAAAAACACCAAGCTAACAGATTTAAAATCTATACAGAGGAATTAATTCTGATGCATGCAGGCCCTGAGATCATTGCTTCAGTATCTGTGAGCCATGCTTATTTGATTCAGTGAAACATATTCTGGTATTCTCTTACCCCTCTGACTCCTACAATCTTGCCTCCCCCTTTTCCAGTTGATTCTGTGGAGAGGGACTTGATAAAAAAAAAACCTCTAATTTAGGTTCCCTCTCCACATGTCTGGCTGTAGGATTCTATACCTGCTCCCATTTTTATCAGAAGAGAACTCCCTGATGTCTTTGGACAAGACAGCAACCCTAGGCTTATCTGATATTCAGTCTCTGGGTCCTGGGCATCCAGGCAGTGTAGGGCATGGGCTTCCTCTTATGACATGGGCCTCAAGTTAAACCTAACATTAATTAACCACTCCCACAAACACTGTACTGCCATTGCCAGAGAATTTCTTATAAGTAGACATGTTAAGGAAGGGAACACTCATAAACTATTGAGGAAGACATAAATTAGTGCAGTATTTCTTGAAAATATGAGGGTCCTTGAAAAGTTAAAACCAGATCTATCAGGATGCAGAAATTTCACTCCCACAGACATCCACAAGGAAAAAAAATATGTTGAAATGTTAATTCTCATATTACTGTCATACTATTGAAAACACCTAAGACATTCATACAATATAATGTTCTATAATCAATAAACAGTCAAATAAAACCTGGTATGTATATGTGAATGAGAAGCAGTCTCAAATAAAATATTCACTGCTTTTATTTTAAACAGATTTTTTTAACTGAAGGTTATCATGTAAGCTTAATGCACGAAAAGGACCACTTACTCATATGCATATGTGTGATGTAAAAAATTTAATTTTATACAAGTTGAGAATATAATATTATCAGATGGACATAATGGAGAAGGAATGATAGGCATTTGCTTACTCATAAGTATACATGTGTGAGGAAGTATTACATGCTATCATTGTCTTGTTGTTTACTTGTAAACAATATGCTGAAGATTATGAATATGAGTGTCATTGAGGAGGCCTAGGATATCTATGGGTCCTTGGGTAGTTAATCAGTAATTATCCTGGCATACCAATGGAATTTGGGTGCCCATCCTATAATGAGAAATGCTCTCTCAGCCTAGACTCTTGTGGGAGGGCCTAGGCCCTATCCTGGATGAAATGACAGACTATGGGTACCCCACATGGAGGGCCTCACCTTCCCTGGGGAAAGGAGTGGGGGATGGTGGGGGTTGGTGGTTGGTGGGAGGGCATGGGAGGAGGGGAGGGAGAGGGAGCTGGGATTGACATGTGAAGCAACCTTGTTTCTAATTTAAATTTAAAAATAAATTATAAATGAAAAAAACATATATGCCACAGCAAGCATGTGCCAATGACAACACACAAACAAACAAAGTCTGCTCTCATTCAGTTTTTATAAAAATGTAAAGACCATAAGTGTTCAAAATTGGTTCTAATATGAAGCAGATTGGCTATGGTATTAACATAATAATTATTATTTTTGTACTTTAATATCAACTATGTAATAGGATTTTCCCATTACATTCAATGGTGTTGTTGTTATTATTAGTTCATTGTAGTTAGAATTTTCAGGAGGATAAAACCTTTTGACCTTAGAAATTGCACTACTTAAAATCTTAGAGAAATGAGATTATTGTCAATAGGTTAGGATTTAAAATCATCTCGTTAATGGAAATATATTTGAACCTAGTCTTCATGATCATAGAGAGCATTAACTGACATATTTGCAGAATATCTAAAGACATCAAAGAGGAAAGATGCTTTTCAATGAGGGGAGAGCATAATTAGGAGTGAACTTTCAACTTTGAACTCAGTGAAACTTTCCTTAAGGGGAAAGTAAAACATCAATAAGCAGAATTTTGTATTTTAATCCTCATAATTAAACAGTTGTGCAAAATCACAATCTGATTATATGAAAATGTTTAAGACATAGTAAGCAACAAAGGAAATAATTAATATGCACAATTATGTTATTTCCATATGCATAAACAAAATAAAAATGGCATTGAGAATAACTTTGTATACTCAAGTTGTTGGTCTAGGGCAACAATCAGGATTTTGAGAGAACTCTGGACTACATAGTCAGTACAGTCTCACTCCGGGTTGCAGAAAGTACTGCTGCAATAAAAGTAATTACGTTGTCTTTGTTTCAATGGCACATATATCCAAATTTGAATGGTCTAGAGAATATTAGCATGGCCCTTGAACAAGAATGAACAAATTAGTGAAATTTGTCCATTTCTTTAGGAACACACACACACATATTCATTTAAAGACATTTTAATTCAGGTAGCAGTGTGTAATATATGTGGTACCTATCAAGTTGATTCTTCATATAATTAGTTGAAACTGTGTTCTGAAAAATAACATTATTTAGGTCATACATAGATTTAAATTTTGTCTGCATATGCAATTGTGCCAGTTTGCTTCATAGTTAAGACACTGAAGTCAAATATTAGAGCATTACAAATGTTACAGAAGATACTATTTAATCTCAGTAAGAAATTAGGTTTAGAAATGACACAACTGAGTACACATTCCAGTGATATTTATTTATATGACATGCAATTATTAATGTCTCCACACTTTTTGTGGTTGGTAAGAATATGAGGCCAAAAAAGCAAAGTCATACCTTTGATAATTTTATTGGTCAACTAGGTATCTAATAGATATATTGTTCTTCTCATTGCTATTGGTGAGTATGGTGTTCTGCATAATACCGATTTCATTGTGCATCAATAGAGTTATATTAGAAAGGGCATCCCAGGTGAAATTGGTTGAAGAAAACACACCAAAACATATCAGATTTCATTTATGTTGCTTTAAAACATAACTGTGTTTCTTATATGAAGGTAATATCAGTGTTCAAGAAAGATTGAAGTCTCTTTAAAAGCAGCATTACTAAAATTTTAGGATCCTCATGACAGAAAGAGGATAATTTAGTATTCAGGAAACTCTTAAATTCAGAGCATAAATGATAAAGTAATAGAAGAGAATACTGAGGATATATCACAGTATTTGACTAGGGAAGTTTTGTTGAAATAGTTTTATGGCTCCTGTAACCTCAGCACCTTGCGTGTCATAGATATCTGACAATAACAGTGAGAATTCAGAAAATGGATGGGAAAAATACATATCATAGGAAGTAAAGTAATAGAATATTTAATATTATAGCTACCATGGAAGCTAGCAATGACAATACCACATGGTTGAAAATTAGAAAACCATGGGCTCATTACTTGAATTATCAAGCCTTTAGCAAGGTGAATTGAAAGGTCAAATGGTAGAAAGAAAAGAAAAAAAGTATATTTCATCACAGTAAACCCAGATTTAATAATATTATTCTAGCTAAGTTTCCAGGAGTTAGAGGAAATTTGAAGGTGGAAAAATCAATGAAACAGTAGAAAAATATGCCATATACTGGAAAAAGACCTACCTTGACAATTAACTGCCATCATCCATTTGGGAGCACAGATCAATAAATGATAACCAAGTATAGTCAGACACATGATGGTAAACTATTAACTCATGAATGGTGAAGATAAAAATATTTGGAAAATTCAATGGAGAAAAAACAAAAAAGCATCCTCAGGCCAGACAAAAGTAAATTATCTGTATCTCTGTGTCTATCAGACCTATCTAGATCTCTTTTTCATTATAAGGGAAAAACGAAACTGGTCTGATGGTGGCGCCCCAAGAATTCCTTATTATTTACATAATTTTGGGTAAGGAGGAGCATTATATATGGTCACTTTCAGAGACTTCATAAAATTCAGTGCTTGTTTACTTTCAGAGTTTAAGAATCTTCCCTGATGGATAGAATATTTCACTTCCTTTTAGAACTTCCACAATCTTAAGAAGCTTCCTCTGAGGTGGCATATTTTATCTCAGAGTGAAATACACCACAGCAATCTCTAAGATGTTCTAAAATTTTGTCTTAATATTATGTTCAATAGTGCTATCTCTAGAAACATTAATTTTTTGGTCAATAAATTTAGAACGAATTTAACATGTGAAAATATCGGTAAAAATCACAGGGCTATAGTTGTCTTTAAGAGGGTACTTAAAATATTAATGATATTTTTGCTTATTGACTTCTTTGAGGTATAAATGTATTTTACTTAGCATTCATACTTATTTGCAAAATTCTAGAACTATAAATGAAAAGTACTTTCAGGAAGACTAATTTTTATTAATTTTTAATTCAAATTAAAACATTCTTATTTTACACACCAATCCCAGATCCCTCTACTTTGTATCCTCCTCCCTACTATCTCTCCATAACATGCCCTATCCCCTACTCAGAGGGAGGAAAGCCGCCCATGAGGGTTCATCAAACTCTCTCACATCATTTGGTGCAGGAACAAGGCCCTCTCCCTAATAACTAGACTGAGAGAGTATCAATCCATAGGTAATGTGTTCCAAAAAGTTTATGCACTAGGCATAAATCATGGAACCACTGCCAGTTCCCACACAGACTTCCCAAGCTACCTAACTGACACCCACATTCAGGGAACCTAATTCTGTATTACTAAGGTTCCCTAGCTGTCAGCATAGAGTTCCTGGGCTCCTCCTTGCTCAGGTAAGACGTTTCTGTGGGTTCCCCAACAAGGTCTTGACCCCTTTGCTCATCACTCCTCCCTCTCTAAAACTGGATTTCAGAAGTTCGGCACAGTGTATAGCTGTCAATCTCTGCTTCTGCTTCTATCAGTTACTGGGCGATGGCTCTAGATAGCATTAAAGGTAATAATTAATCTCATTATATGAAAAGAGCATTTAAGGTAGCCTCTCTACTATTGCTTAGATTCTTAGGTGGGGTCATCCTTGTGGATTTCTGGGCATTTCCCTAGTGCCATATTTCTTATTAAGCTCAGAACAGCTCCCTCTTTTAAGGTATTACTTTCCTTGCTCTCCTTTTCTTTCCTTCCCCCAACTCGACCATCATGATACCTCATGTTCTCCTACCCAATTCCCTTTTCCCCTCCTTTCTCTTCTGTCTCCCTCCCCCAAGTTTCCAATTTATTCAGGAAATCTTGTCCCTTTTCCCTTCTCAGGGGTACATGTATGTCTCTCTTAGCGTCTTCCTTGTTTGCAAGCTTCTCTTGGGTTGTGGATTATAGGCTGGTTATCCTTTGTTCTATGTCTAATATCCACTTATGAGTGAATACATACCATATCAGTCTTTCATGTCTGTGGTATCTTACTCAGGATGGTTTCTTCTGGGTCCCTCCATTTCCCTGCAAATTTCAATATTTCATTTTTTTTTCTGCTGAGCAGTACTCCATTGTGTAAGTGTATCACATTTTCTCTATCCATTCTTTGACTTAAGGACATCTAAGTTGTTTCCAGTTTCTTGTTGGTACAAACAATGCTGCTATGAACATAGTTGAAGAGTTGTTCTTGTAGTATGAGTGTCCTTTTGGTATATGCATAAGAGTGGACTTGTCTTGAGGTAGATCGAGTCTCATTTTCCTGAGAGACCACCATACTAATTTCCAGAGTGGTTGTACAAGTTCATTCCCACCAGCAATGGAGGAGTATTCCTCTTTCTATACATCCTCTCCAACATAACCTGTCATTGACTTTTTTTATTTTAGCCATTCTGACAAGTGTAAGATGGTACCTCGGCGTTGTTTTGATTTGCATTTCCCTGATGGCTAAGGATGTTGATCCATTCCTTAAGTGTCCTTTGGCCTTTGAGACTCCTCTGTTGAAAATTCTCTGTTGAGATATGTACACCATTTTTTATCTTAGAACAACTTTCATTGTGTCCCATGAAGTTGAATTTGCTATGTATTCCTTTTCAATGAATTATAGAAAGTTTTAATTTCTTACTTTGTTTTGCTCTTGACCAAATTTTCTTCAGCAGAGTGTTGTTCAGTTCCATGAGTTTGGAAGTTCTGTTGCTTTGGTTGTTGTTAATATTAAGCTTTAATGCATGGAGGTCTAACAGGATACACAAAGCGATTTCAATTTTCTTCTGTCTGTTGACACTTGCTTTGTGTTTGAATATGTGGAAAGTTTTGGATAAAGCTCCATGAGATGCATAAGTTATATTCTTTAGTGTTTGGGTGAAATGCAGTCTAAATATCTGTTAGGTACATTTGGTTTAAAACATCTGCTAGTTTCATTATTTTTCTGTCCAGACTTTGTCTGGGTAGCCTGTCCATTGGTGGGAGTTGGGTACTCAAGATTGCCCCTGTCAGTGTGTGAAGGTCAGTACATTATTTAAAATATATTAATGCTTATTTTTAAGAAGTGGGTGCCCTTTATTTTGGGCAATAGATGATATGAATTAGAATGTGTCATCCTGCTGAATTTTCCTTTGATCAATATTAGTGTGCTTCCCTATCTCTTTTAATTAATTATAGTTTGAATTTTATTTTGTTAGATATTAAAAACTGGTATAGCCATGCCCATTTCCTTCTTTGGTCCATTTGCTTGAAATCTACTTTCCAACTATTTTGACCTCATGTACTGTCTATCCTTGATGCTGCACTGTGTTTCTTGTATCTAATAGAAGGGTTGATATTATTTTTTCACATTCATTATGTTAGAATGTGTCTTTTCATTGGAGAATATAGACCATTGGTATTCATAGGTATCAATGAACAATAGTCATTGATTCTTATTATTTTGTTGTTTATGGTAATTGTCTTCTTTTGTGAGTGTGAGTGTGTGTGTGCTTCTCTTCCTTTGAAGTTATTGGTGTATCTTATTTACATCTTTTTTTGTCTTGTGTATATTTTATCTACTTTGCTTGACTGTGGGTTGCCTGTTTCCCTGTCCCTGCTCAGCTGCTACATTCACGAGGAATGGGTGCTTGTGTTGGAGGCTAGGATACTGAAATGGGTTGAAGAAAGGAAGGTTGGAGATGAATATCTTTGTGATAACTTGGAGATTCAGTCACTGAAAAATGGAGAATGAAGCAGGTTTTCTCCTACAGAATTAGGAGTGAGATGGGATATTGGTCTTGGGGAGAAGGAAAGGTGTAAATTCACTGACAGCCTACTAGTTGCTCTTTGACTAGCAGGGGATCACAGATATATAGTTTTTAAGGAAAGAAAATTTAGTATTTTGATAACTAATAGTGTTCAAATATTAAAAAAATTTGAAGTAATTCATAGAGATAATAATGAATTTTACTTAAATGAATACATGTAAAGAATGAATTAGTTAGTTAAAAATGAAATAGTCCAAAACCAGGCAGAGAAACCATAAAAATGAGAAGTATAAGCCAATTT